CTCAAAATGTTGCCTACATAGAAAGGTTAGACAAATGCTCTGACAGGTTATTGTAATATTTGAAGGATGGACGCTACAGGCTGGAACCTACTGCTGTCACTCAAGTGTTTCAGTATTGTACACGGATCAATCAAGAAACCCGCTATTTTACTCCACGACAGGCTCAGACAGCATCACTGAGATCAAGCTGGCTGGAATCTGGACGGGAGGACCCCCCGCTAGCTGCATCTGAAAGTATACAGCACGGTTTTCTAATTAACATCAGTCTTTCGCACACCAGGTAGAAAGCCCCCTATTTGACAGGCTAATTCATCTGAAACCTTAAAGCTACAATATGCAATTTTTTTCGCCGCTACGAGTCGCTAACCTCTTACAATAACAAAGGCGTAGGTTGATGACGCATAAGTGGAATTATGGAACTTGTCGTCATGCTGATGGATCTAATAATGTTTATGGATGAGTGAAAACATTCATGTTTTTAACATGACTGTGGTATGAAGCAGGGCGCGATCGCTAATGAGAGACAGATATCAGTGCCACACGCGAGTCCCGCGGATATAAAGGAATAATACCCAATCATTTCATACCGAACTACCCGCAAGTGCAGAATTACTATTCACACATGTCAGTTTATTAGACGAATGAAACTTGTGAGGTAACGCAGCGCTATATCACTTGGTCTACACTATCACACTAAACTGCATTTGAGTGTGTTGAAAGTTATAATGTTATTCTATGTGTTAGTTTGTTGGCTGTATGAGACTAGCAAGTAAGCTAGATCAACATTAGAATAACATACTGATCATAATCTGTCGAAGTTAGTCGCGGACGTGAAGTTCTCGGCATTTCGAATACACCACGCCGATATTGATCCTCATTTTAGTTCACATTATTTAAAATTGGAATTTCTCTGAAATAAAAAAAACTTTGGGGATATTATAAGTACACAACTGCAGGAAATGTATCACACTGTGCAAGTGATTTTTGGATATTTTATTACAAAAAAAATATATACTTACATATTGTACCTTTAAGTGTCTATAGTTGTCAGGGTACTCCAACACTTAATCCTTTCAATAAAATATCTCAACTGTAGGCAAGGCAAGGCAAGTTTATTCATATAGCACATTTCATACACAATGGTAATTCAAAGTGCTTTACATAGAAGAAATTAAAATAATCAAAAGAAATAAGATTAATTAAAAAAAAAAAAAAAAAAAAAAATACAGTAAAAACACGAACAGTGCACAGTGCTGATTCAGTGTGGCTAAACAGATGTGTTTTGAGTCTGGATTTGAATGTGACTACTGTAGGGGCACAACTGTAATGGACTATAGGGAAATAACTGGGATTCAATATATTTAACATTAAGTTTAGAAACAGAAAATTCCCACTTGATGAAGAGATTCATAAGGCTGAATGTTATAGTTAAATAATGTCAATGTTATTTTGATGGATCAATCTATCTATCTAATATATATATAGAATACCATTCAAAAGTTTGTGGCCAATACGATTTTTTTTTAATAGAATTTAATACTTTTATTCAGCAAGAATGCATTAAAATAAAAAATGACAGTAAAGACAATAATGCTACAAAAGATTTCAATCTATTCAAATAAATACTATTCTTTTGAACTTTCTTCATCAAAAAGTTCTGAAAAATTATCAGTTTCCACAAAAAATGTTTAGCAGTATTACCATTTTAACTGGGATGATAAGAAATGTTTTTTGAACACAGAATCAGTATGAAGTAGTATGAATTTGATGTGAAATATATTATATAATTATAAGTGTGAACCAGATTCAAACAGTCATTAAAGCCAAAAGTAAAAATATAACATTTCAGCTTCCTCTAACTATATTTGTACAATTTCATCATACATTTTAATACAATCTCAATGTTTATATACTTATGTTTATATGTACTATTTTTACTATTTCCCCCACATAAATTTTTACTAAAACATTTTAATAAAAGAAAAAAAAAGATTTAATGGTGGATTTGAGTTATTTTCAAAACTAGTCTAATGACATGATCTTTCAGAAAATGGCCAAATAAAACACATAAAAAAATCATTACAATGTTGCTTAAAGTTGTACTGCCAACAAAACAGTCAAAAATATAGTGAATATTCGAAATTTCACCCAGCTCTAGTATGCATCAGTTTAGTACTAAGGGCAACACAATTCAAAATTCAGATTATACAGGAATAAAGAATATTCAATAGACTGAGCATTAACAAACTTATTCTAATATCCTGAAGGCATGAACCTGCATTTCAAATATATATATTATATTTTTCGGCATAATGAGTGAATTTCTTTTAGAATAAGTCATAGTCATTAATCACAACACATGGTCTTGAGAGGAGAATTTATGCATGGTGAGCAATTTCACTAAAGGGACCGCCTAAAGCTAACATCACTTTCATCTTGCAGGAAGAAGCATTCTGGTACAAGACACTTGAAAACTAAGCTGATAGGGGCTTGGCGGGGTCAACGCCTGCCTCTCACTTAGCTCATTTATCGCTCTGCTGCATCAGCTCAAGTCTCCATCCCCCTGAGAGCCATCCAATAGACCAATCATATTTCACACAGGAGGCAAACAAAAATGTGAGAAAAGGTCACTTGAATTATTGAGGCGAAGAAGGGTGAATTATCTTGATGCACAATCTGAGGTAAAACCGCATTTTGCATAACCGGTGCCAAAAAATATGTGGAATACAGGACAACAAACAGCTCAGAGAACTCAATAATATATGGGAATGTCATGTTTTTTATGGAAATTGGCATCTGGATGTGTGTGAGGGGTTTTTATACGGTGGCTTTACATCACTGGTATCACTCAATATGGGCAAGTAAATCGATATGTAATTGCTGTGTAATTGCATATGCCACAGGCAATAAATCACGAGGGAGAGAAATATTTTATACATAAATTCGATTTAGACGTATCAGCTACTTCACAAGCAATCCCAGCAGAAATGTACACTATCCTCCTTCCACGTTACACTGAACAATGCTAAATGCTAGCAGAGCTTTCAGAAACTAAATATAACACAAGCAAAACTGAATACATCTGAGTGAGCAGAATTAGCGTGAAGCTAAGAGCCTCTAAGTTTCACATATGTATTGACCTTTACACAAACACGAGATATTAGTAAATCAGCTATGAAAATCGAAGCCTGAAAGCAACTTCAAAAAGAGAATTCTGAGAAAGCGAAGTATCCCGATGTTTACTTCGCTAATGACTCATGCTAGCTAACTCTTATTATTACAAGAATAGACCAGATAAGGACAAAGAGTCAGAAAAATCAATGGAGACAGCTGAGACATGATGCTTCTTAATGAAGCCTGACGTCTGTTTCCTCTGTTTTCATGGTGAAATGAAAAATTACAGATTTGTTTGGCAAGCAGCTGTTGAACAATTTTTGTGACATGGGTGGTTAATGTAAAACATAATGAGATGTGTTATAAAATTCCATTTCAGATTACAGTCTCCTTTGTTTTCGAGGAAATGAGCTAGTGATGTGCATTTGGGTCATTTTCATTGCTTGAGGACTCGGGTGAGGTTGATGGGTAGCCGTAGCTGACTATGTTCAAATGTGTCAGACTTTGTCTTTGGTCATTGCATCATGTCTCACTGTATTTTTGTCAATGTCTCACACCATGAACGATGCATTTTCAAATATATCAAGTTCAAAATTGTTTTATATTATTCAGATGTTTATTCGCCCTGCTTTTATTTTCACTGACCCCACCACAAATATGATACAGATACTTTTAGCAAGTATTTTTATTCTAGTATTCTTTCTTTAAAGTGACAGTGCACCCAAAAATGTAAATTCTATCATCATTTACTGACCCCTATGCTGCTCCAAACATGTATAACTACTTTATTTCTTCCACTCATAAGTTGTCTTATTTTTTGTTTTGTTTTTAAGTTTGTTTTTAAGTCACCATATATATTGGGGGCCCTTCGAATGTTGATTTTGACAAGAGGGGGATTTCTTTACCCAAATAAATACCCTAAATACTTCTGCGGGAATCTGTGGTATCCGATGCAAAACATTACTGATTTTATACCACATGAAATTTATACTTGCTATTAGGGTTGGGTGTCCATAGGTTTCCTGAATCAACTTTGATTCACAAGCTTTTGATTCAAATTAATATGAAAGAAATCCTCCCAGCTAATGGTGCAAAAATACAGGGCAGTGTTTCAAAACATACAGTAACTCGTCATTCTGAACAATTTATTGAAAGAACCAACTCACACGATTCATTTGTCATTTGTAGCGTATATTTTTATACTTTTTGTAGCCAAAAAAGGACGGGTTATTAAGAGTCATTTATTCATGAATCTAAATATGCTAGTCAAGTCTAGTTTGTTTTTCTCGCATGCAAGGACACCTCAATAGAATATATATTTGTTTACAGTAGACTGGATTTTTATTGCATCACATTCCATATAATGAACATATTAATTAAAAGTATTAACGCAACTCAAAATGGAGTTGACCGAGTTGTCACGCTTCCACTAAAAATAGAGTAAGGAGTAAAAGAGTATAAACGATCCTGGGATTTTAATCATCATTAACGGAGCTCATTTAAATGATGATTATTCAGAAAATCTGTAGTAACTAGTCATTTCATCTGTGTAAGCCAGCTAGACAATGCTACCTCTGTGCTATATTTAAATCAGCAGATTGTGCAACAACAATCCTAAATCCATCACAGAAACCCAAATGTTTCAGTTTAAAGCACAAAAACACATGCACCAACAAACATAAAATGTAGAAACAACGCAACACTGCAATTTTCATTATTTGGTCCAAAACTCATATTAGATCCATGCCATCAGTCTCAGGCACACGTGCACTCAGCAGTCCATGTAAACAACTTTTTACTATCGCAAAACATTTGTAGTATCTTCACATATCATATTCATACGATTGCTGATTGGAAGCATAACATTTACATTTATGAGCTCTTACCCTGCGTCTGGTCTATGTGGCCCAGGGTTTCTATCTGTTCAACCAGATCATTAGAGTTCCACTGACTCATCCCCAAAAGCATGGCCGTCTTCCCCTCCAGCACCTCTGAAAGACATCACACACAAACATACACTCAGTGAGATTAGAATTTGTTCAGGATGAGACAATAATTTAGCTCATCATCAAGATAATACAGATAATGTTATGTTCATTTCAGCTCAGAAAAATCACATGGAATGCAGCAGTACATCAAAGACTATTAGGATTCATCGAATTATCTTTAAATACAGCTCAAGCCATAAAGTGATGTCCGACTAATGAGCACAGAGTGAGCGATCAGCCACTCCGCTGGTCCTTGTGAGACAGCCCTAGTGTTTGATGGAGGACTCAGCTGCGCGCTTCACAGCGTGTGACAGTGAGCTGCAAGCCCAGTGCCGTGTCGGATCTCGCCGGGCGATATTTCAGTGTGGAGGAGAGGTTGTGACAGGACTTCGTCAGGCCTGCTCGTCTGCATCACCCACTCGAGCCGATCGGTCGCCGTTTGTCGCATGCTATTTGCCAGACTGTCAATTGAACTGTTTTTTGACTTGGTTCACACAAGGGTAGACAAACAAACATGTGCATGCTCACAGAAACAATGCGAGGGAAGCTCAGAGTTGAGAGACGAAGGGTTTTAAATCATAATCCAAATACTGGCAGTTACTGAGTCGTGTCAAATGGAACGGCGCTTGGAGAGAGCAGGAAGAACATAGATCTTCTGAAGTGTGAAATGTGCTTAGCACAAAGAAGAGCAACGACAGCAACTCGGCTCCTGAAGGAGAGACAACCACCTATTTCAGTAAATAAAAGAAACAAACTGCTAACGCACAAGGGTCTGTCGGCAAGGCACACTGCGAAAGAATGACAGCAAAAAGTGGGAGTTAAAAGGAGAAGAAGAGAGAAAATGAACAATGTAAAAATGTTGGAACATGCTCTGAGTGGATGAGCTTAGCAGAAGAATTAATTTGAAAGTATTCAGTGTAAGCTGCACCATAATGAAAAACTCTAATGCAATCTATATTGAATTAGACTGTATATTAGTTCATATGGAAGTCAGGAATGTGCAAAGCTAAAAACATTTTTTTTATGACCGACTAGTCAGTGGATTGCCTAAACAAGGGTTTGCGTACAATTTAAAGGGAAAACGAAGACTTTGCTAAATGTATTTTTAGGGCCATCAAAGTAACATTCACTTAAAGGTGAAGTATGTAATTTCTGCGACACTAGAGGCACTTCGCGGAAAAACACAAATAAAGCAAATGTTTAAACAACCTTGTAAACGCCCCTTTCGTGTGTTGCACCTGCCACAACACAGATCACAAATAGAGTGGTGCAGGAATGACGTCACTTTGTAGGCCAACTGGCAGTTCGCATTGTAAGACTGGAAAAACTGGAAAAACTGGAAGAGAGAGCTACTCTCTGAGGGAACAAAGGAAATTATCATTTGAAATCACTCTTGTGAAGTTAGCATCACCATTTGAGACGAAAAGTCTCACCTCAGAATACATCTCTTTCTCTCTCCCGCCACTCCTTCTCCCTCATGCTGAGATCACCTGAAACTCACCCAAAATCTATATGGTTTTAATGTAAACAATTATCATACAGTTTTATACATGTTTGGCATCATTTGAAATGTCTCAGTGTGACTGGTAAAAATGTCTCATTCCCAAAGAAGTAAACCAAAAGGTAATAAAGTTCTTAAGAGTTTAGGAATATCTTGCACACAGAAGGGTGTGACTTTCAGGAAAATGTTCTTCTGCTCTCAAAAGGTGTAACTTCTGAATGCAAATTTCCATTGTTAGCAAATGTTTCCATGTGAAAGAGGTTTCTGTCTATATAATGAAATGCAGCAACGGGCTCAAGGCAATTCTGTACCTCAGATCCGGCCGTGAATGCTGAGAGTCGCAAAGACTAATGTCGGGTTCGCATCTCTTCTCTTTATTCCAGAGCATATGATGTTTTGTACTGATTATCTTTGAACTGATTATGTAATTACCATGATACATTTACGTGACATAATAAATTGTAAACATCTGATTTTATTCTAATCGACATTATTTTCAGTAAAGGGTTAAAAAGAATTTTGAAACATTCGCTCACATTTAATGATGCACAGATATCATTAAAAACCTTTTTCATTTATGGAGTCAGATGAAGTCTTGAGCTTATGTTCACCATGGACCTTATTTCAGACATTCAACCAAAACCCCATTCAAAAAACCCACTGACTTCGGGACGATGGAACCAGAAGTGCTAAAATGCTAACTCATTTCCACGTTTTGGCCTACAAAGTGATGTCATACCTGCACCACTCTATACAGCTCTTACAGGTGCTTGTAAAGGCATGTCGAAACATGTAAGCTAATTTCAATAAAAGGTCTGACGTATTAGGAATACTTTTAGCTGTGTTGCTGTGTGTCATGAGTACGCGAGTAGGCCAACACTCTGTCCAGAGTGAAGGCAACTGCCTCGTTTATAATAAACCAATCCAACGTATCTGTACTGGGTGTATCAGGATGTTTTATGGTATTTAATCGTCTATTGTAGCCCATTTCATCGCAATGCCACGTTTGCTTTAAAGGTGACCTATAATTCAAAATTGAATTTACCTTGGTATAGTCAAATAACAAGAGTTCAGTGCATGGACATGACATAGAGTGAATCTCAAACTGGACTGTTTTCGCGTTCTCATTTAATTCACGTTTATGAAAAACACCCCTGAAAAACGGTCGGTTCTCCACACAATACCGACTGTGACGCAATAGTCGGGATCATTAATATGTACGCCTCCAAATATTTGCATAATGCCAGCCCTCAATGCCAGGCGGAACTGCGCAGCCGAAGCATGGCAGTTGCTCAGTGTGGATGTACACAAGAACACAAAAGTATTTTTTAGTTCCTTCATCTGAGCCTCTGAAGAAACAATGGGTTAATTTTATTTTCTCTGGAAATTTCACTGACGACTGTTTCCTCAACTTGGGCCAATACAGAGCTGGCCTCGGATCGAGCTACCAAGCAACACTTTCTGATGTGTAATTGTTCAAGTTCAGACAGGTAATCTTTCTCTCAAAATCGTTCAATACTGTTTATGCATCAGTAAGTCAAGCCAGTGACTAAAATATCAGCTTCACATCGTTTCTTTTAGTAGGATGAAAATAATCGTATTTAAATTGTGAACAAATTATATACAGAAAGCGATCAAAGAACAATCTTTCCACACAGCGCGAGTTTATCTGGACACTTGCCAAACTCGTTATGAAATCAATGACGCACGTTACTGCACAACGAAGCTCTTACTGCATTGGTGAAAGCAGAGAGAGTGCAGAAACTGCTTTGCAATGATAAGATCTTCATTCTCGCGATCAACACACTGTCATCTGCTCAATGCTCATCACGGCAACATTTTATGTGATGGGAATAGATCTAAATACTTTAAAAACATCTCACGATTCGTTAATCTCGATAGCTGTTATAGTAAAAACGTATAATAGCAGTAGTAAAAGTATTCGGGAGAGAGTTTCACATGTAATGCGTTGCTATTTCATATGCAAGCATGTCAGCCAATCACAGCAGTGGCCGCGGTTACACTGAATCCCACAGCAGACACGCCCCTTCAAACAGAGTGTTCAAATCAGAGGCTAAAAGCAGGCTAGGAAAAATGCCATTTATTTCTAAATTATGATTATTTTTTATCTAAAAAAACATACTAACATTATAAGGGTAACCCAGGAAACATTATAAAATAATTAAAAAAAACATTCTAGGGCACCTTTAAAGTGTTAATGACCTGTTTAATCTTTGAAGGTCTAAATGCAGCAAAATTTGGCTTGCACTCCTGTACCAATAGGGATGCATCAATCCCATATTCAGTATTGGTGTTGGCTTCAGTAAAGCTATCTCCGAGATGATTCAATATTCCCATTATTATACTCGATCTGTAGACAAAAGTCTGTGGATTTGCAAAAAAAGGCTTTATCTTGCCAGAGTTTATTGCTGTTTCTAAAGGATGTGATATTCGCTACACCAGGTGTCTGTTAGATCACAACACTGGAGTAGAGAGGACCATGAATTGGGATCACGCACACAGTGACTGGAATTCAAAACTGAAGAAATAAGGCTCAATAAACTTTTGAACAAACATACAGTGATACACTATGAGTTGTGCGCACAATATCTCTTCTCTTTGTGCCCTAAACTTTTCAACACAGAGCACTGCGCGCTGTGATGTTGCTTTAAGAATTTCATTCTGCACCCACGCCACGATGCGCATAAGCAATGTATACCGCTCTCGCTCTGTATTGGAGCCTTTCATATTATGATAGTTTTGCGCACTGAAAGATTATAACCTTGTTTTGTCATATCTATCATATCTTGTTGGCCCACTAAAAAGCTGCGCAATTCATTTTAAATTAGCGTCTTCTTATTTTATAGCATTCCTCTACAAATTGTTTTTCATGAATGTATTTTAGTTTTAATACTAAAATTTTAGTTACATATAATTAGTTTTTTATTAACATACTTAGCACTACACTTACATTGACTTTTATTTTTTTCATCACTAAATGTTTTTCGCTAAATGTTTAGATTTTATAAACTTACTTTAGTTTATAATATTTTTGTCAAAGATTATGATTACATTTCTTTTGCACTCATTTGTTGTTTTTCTCTAATGAAGTAGGGTGTATTTAGCAGAGATGTCACTAGAGATTCATGGATAGATGGATAGGGGGTAAGCCTTTATATATAAATTACACATATAAAAAAATCCTGGGGAACTATGATCAGTCACTCCTAAAAGGCTTAGCACCCTATCCATCTAAAGAAATCCACATAAATTAGTTGACCTTACTAATCAAACGTCCTGTCCCATCCCTAATGATAGTGAATGAAAAATTTCCTGAACCTTCAACTCATCTTTACTCTTAAATAGAGAGGGCATACAGACAGAGATTAGTCAAAGGACATGTCCATGTGGGCTGAAAGAATACCTTCAGCATATGAACCAAATTTGCAACACAAACTTACCAAGATCATATTTTCTTTGTCTCTATGCCTAGATTTATGTA